TATTTTTTTTTCTTTTTTTCTTTTTTTTTTTTTTTTTTTTTTTTTTTTTTTTTTTTTTTTTTTTGTTGTGGTAAGAAAGCAATAGTACAGCCTAAAAGAAAATAAGCAACAACCACAACTTTGATAGCATATAACGTGAATAGGAAGAATTGATGACTAGTCACATACCTTATAGTACATTTTGAGGTAGTTTAGCCCTGACGGGTGTAGACACAATTTTGTTGATAGGTTATACACCCCCGTACTAACACAACAATAATAGTGAATGCCTATCTAACTTGAAAGTAAGTAAAGGGGTTTGGAACGGGCATGCGGCTGTGGACAACACGTCATGAAAAGCATAATTGGGACATCTTACACGCGACCGTAGGCAACACGCCTTAGACAAGCATGACTGTGACAACCTACAACTTGACTTAAGCTCACCTCGTCTTGACAAGGTATGTAAGTTGTAGGGTTAGTAGGCATGATCTCACTCCTTATGTGAATTATATGCATATGTCAGTTACTGTCTTTTGAACTAATTAGGATACAATTGGTTACAATACCTAATAACTTGGAGTCTATGGCATGATGATAGATTATGGACCTTAAAACCTAAAGTGGTACTATACGAGAAGATAGAGCAGGTAGAGCCTTGACTGAGACCTACCCTGCTCAAATTCCTTATAAGGAAAGGCGTGCTAAGAACAAGCGTTGGAATAAGTAGATACCATGATGCTACCATCTATGATCTAGGTCAATCAGATAAACTAGGGTAACATAAACAGTGGAGAAAATGTCAGAATATCTTAGTGGTCGAGAGTGTTAAGATTATGCCCTAAAGCCTCGTAATTAATTGTTTAATTTTAATAATAACTTTGATTATTTTATTTAAAATTTAATATTATCCCATATGTGATTCACATACAAGAGGATCATGTTTAAGAATAACTAAAGGGTCTATAGTATATGGATAAGGTTTGCCGATGCTAAGCAACTAGAAGGTTCAACCACACCACAAGTAATTCCTTCAGCATTTTTACATAAAGCTTTAGCGATGTGATTCTCGTAAGTTAGCTTTATGTCTATCAAGCTTAATCCAGTGCAATGATTTGTTGGGCTACAATCAAAACTGATTGCTATTTCAGTGGCCGAAGTTCCCTTGATGTCTTCGTATGTTACTTCATTAACTTTAACTTCAGAATCCTAAGTTATATTATAAAACCAAATATAAACTAGGAATTCAATAATAAGATATAAATTGACCATAGTCTTAAATTTTCTAGATAGTATATATAAGTTAGAGCAATTATCTCTAATGATATTAGATATTTTGGATAAATTAAAAAATAAAATCATAAAAGCTTCATACCATTTTAAGACATCGGAGAATAATAGCATCCCTAATTTATTACCTATAAAAGTAATTTAATGTACAAAAAAATAATAATAATACTAATAATTTAGTATCCATCTTAAGCCCAAACAAATTTCAAACAAAGATAAAATAAATCAATTATTTATAAAATAAAAAAATTAAGTTCTATTCCTTCAATTTAAGCTTAAATATAATTAGAAAAAATTTAACATGTATGAGATTAATGAGGAAAATATTCCTATCAGGACAATCTTTGAGATGTGGACCATAATTTTGATTAATTATGATTGAGTTTTTCACATTATCCATAATAATGTGTTGAAAATGAACTTTTGTAGCGAATCCATTGCTTGGTCTTTCCCAAGACTTAATCCTTACTCCATTTTGAGTCCCCGTGAATGTAGATGATTTCAATGTAATGTTATGCACTCCATCCTCCTAAGCCTTCATCCCTAAGCTCCCAATGCTACAAACACCTTCAACAAAATATCAAATGTTTCATGAGTTTTAATTTCCTCACTCTAACCTAATATATTATATAACTATTTTTATCCAAAATAATTTTAAAATAATTTAAAGCATTTTTCTCACGTTCAAAATAACTTTAGAATATATTTTAATCATTCAAATTTAATTTAACGTTTCGATTATCTTCTAAAAATTAATGTGACAAATTTATTTAAACTCTTTAAAAAACATTTTTAAACATGCTCATCCTAATCTATCTCTAGTTTCCTGATTCCATGTCTAGGTCCACATGTAATACTTTCCGTCCACATGTTAAATGTCCCTAGACCGATGGAGACCAGTCGTCACCATTTCTAATGTTCGAGTTGAGGATGGTCACATCCGATGATTGTTGCACATGGATGCCATCAGTGTTTGGACTATCACCTGCAGAAAAGACATTCACACCTGTCATATGCACATTTTGGCACCGATTCATTACAATGCTGAACAATTGGCTGTTAATTGAAGATAATCCATTAATGCTCACTTCTTTCCATCATTTATTTGAAGACTCTATCAATTCAAAACAAC